GCGGGTGCAGCTCAGCCAGGACTCAGCCACGGCTCAGCCACCTGCTCTACCCCCACACCGCTGGGCCCGCGCCTGGGGTGGGCAGATAAGGAGAGCTGGGGCTGTGTTGGACCCAAGCTCAGACCCAGATCCGGGACCCACCCTGCTTCACAGGCACACTCCCACCGTCTCACACGTCTCAGGGTCACGTGTATTCATTGCTCCTTTAGAGGGCAGGCCAGAGGACGCCGGCCTTGCCTGTTGTCAGGCAGCTGCAGCCCTCCTCCCCGTTTGGGTGAACACAGTAGATGGTGAGGACTGCAGAGCCTCGGGGCTCAGCACAGCAGAGTCAGAGACACTGATCACATAAAATCAAGCTCCCTGGAAGTCCCTGCGGTGAATGCAGGAAGGGGGTGTGGGTCAGCTCCAGGGTGAGAATCTCAGGAAATCTGCCCTGGGGCCACTTTGCCGGAGGCAGCTGCCACTGAGCGCCACCTGCTGTTCTCAGGCAGCACTGGCATGCGTCACTGAATCTGAGATTCCAGGGTGGATGTTGGTGGTGGATTGAAGGAGCCTGGCCTGTGGAGCAGTGCGGTGCTGGGAGCACGGGGGCGCCAGGCAGGGGTCTGACACGCAGCCTCACAGCCTCGCAGCGTTGGGGAGGAGGGCGCCTGGCCTAGCTTCCTGTTTCCTTAGGCAGAAAGTTTTTGGTGAATGCAGAACTCTGTACAGCTGCTTTTAATTCTCATATCCTTCCACACTCATCTTTGAAAACTAGAACTCTGATCATTCCCTGCTGGGGAACTCTTGGTGCAGTGCCAAGCTCAGGTTTTGGATTGGCACCTCCTTTACCACACGCCTCGCCTCTCACCAGCAGCCTTGCCCCTCCCTCTCAGGCCCGTCTGTGTTCTCTGGACACTGCCCTTGCCCCAGCTCATTCTCCGGTCTGCCTTCCACTTTCTCCAAGGCTTTCCGGTCTCTCCAGCCCAAAGCCACCCACAGGACCCCTGTGGACGGTCTCGCAGTGTTTGTGCTCCGTGTGGTTAAGGCCGTCGTTAGAGTGCTGTCTGCAGACCATGTGATGGGAAACCTGTGGGTGATCACAGAGAACGTGGAGTTCGGTCCTCGACGTGTGGCAGAACTGTGGGCTGAAAATCAGGAAGAGTGGTGGGAATCCCGGTGATTGAGGGACTCTGGGTAGAGGCCCCTCCCCCAGCGCACACATCTGGGCTGAAAGGCACCTGGCGAACACCCCACCTGCACAAGCCCGTGGGTCTCGGTTGGCTGACACAGACTCTCTTTCCAGATTCTCATCCAGATTGTAGACGCCTCTTCGGTGATCACGTGGGATTTTGACGTGTGCAAAGGGGACATTGTCTTCAACATCTATCACTCCAAGAGGTCACCACAGCCACCCAAAAAGGACTCACTGGGGGCCCACAGCATCACTTCCCCAGGCGGGGACAACGTGCAGCTCATAGACAGGGCCTGGCAGCTGGGCCGAGACTACAGCATGGTGGAGTCGCCTCTGATCTGCAAGGAAGGCGAGAGTGTGCAGGTAGGTTCAGGCCTCGGTGCTTAGCAGCTCGGCCTGGCTGAGAAGGGAGTCTCCTCCTTGCTTCCAGCCTGCCTGCTTCCCAGGGCACTGCCTGGTGACCAAGAGCAGCAGGCCCGTGCAGGTGCAGCCCCCGAGGCTCTGGGACAGAGCATGTGACCCACAGCCAGCACGTGGCTTTTCTCTAGAAGTGGTGTTTTCACAAAGGGACACGTGGCAGGAAGGAGGAGAGCTGTATGCACAGAACAGGAGCAGCTGACCGTGAGTCGGCTGCGAGACAGGAGCTGACCCTGCCGCGGTTGTCGGCTTCCAAGGCAGAGGAGCCAGCACTCAGGGAGCCGGTATCACTCATTCCCAAATGCACTCGCTCCTGTAGAAGCGCTTTAATGTTCTGGCCAGTCGTTTCCAGAGCTGTGCTCGTGATGGCAACTCCAGGGCTTCTAGCCTCAGCACGCGCGGATTTGCTGCCTTGCAGTTTTCAGGATAAGCCTTGTCAGTTTCTGATGGGCTTAGATGCAGAGTCAAAGGGGATTTTCATCCTGTTTTTAAAATAAGAACCAGTTCGAGCTGGATCAGTCTCTTAACTCCAAGATTCATGGAGAAGGCAATTCCCACTGGCTGACGCTGCTCTTTAGATGGGCGCCTTCCAGCTGGGGCTCGCGGGGCCGACTGGGAGCACCTCAGAGGAAGTGCTAGGCTGAGAGCCTCTACCGAGCCCCAGCCTGCAGCAGCTGTGCTGAGCACTGCCCCCTGCCAGGTGTCCACAGGGGCACGGCCCCACGGACCACGAGTCCTGCAGGTGACAGACGTCAAGTCTGCCATGTAGCCTGTCCAGAGATGTTGGCACAGGGGGTTCCCACTTAGTGGCTGGGAGGAGATTGTTGCGCCATCCTCATGAAGGCCCACGTGCCAGGTCCTTACAGCCATGTGCTCGCTGCACAAAACTAGCAGGACTTGGTGACGGCTTCCTGGCATCCGGCAGCCCTAGGACAGGGAACAGGAGGCCGTCCTCCTCAGCACCGCCCTCCTTGTCCAGGGCTCTCATGTGACGCGGTGGCCAGGTTTCTACATCCTGCAGTGGAAGTTCCACAGCATGCCGGCCTGTGCCGCCACCAACCTGCCACGGGTGGACGACGTGCTGGCCTCCCTGCAGGTCTCCTCACACAAGTGTAAAGTGATGTTCTACACTGAGGTCATCGGCTCCGAGGACTTCAGGTTGGCCCCCCCGACAACCAGTGCATGTGCGTGCGTGCCGTGCGTGTGGGGGTGGGTCACGTTGCCTCGTGCAGCGTTGACGTGATGGCAGGCGGCAGGTCTCGGGCATACCTTGGAGGAGATTGGGGGTCTTCGTCAACGGAGCAGACTCACCCTTGGGTAACCCAGTGGGATGCTGTCTGCCTTGGGGGAACGCCCAGGACCCAGCCCTGCTCCCAAGGGCTGGTGGGGCAGACAGGGGCCGACAGTTGGATCAGCTGGGATGTGAGTGGGGTGTAGCAGGTGCTCGCGGGGTCCTCACAGCTGTCCCTCCTTTTGCTCTCTGCAGAGGTTCCATGACTAGCCTGGAGTCCAGCCACAGCGGGTTCTCCCAGCTGAGCGCCGCCACCACATCCTCCAGCCAGTCCCACTCCAGCTCCATGATTTCCAGGTAGTGCCGCGAAGTCCGCTCCCAGGGTCGGAGGAGACGCCGCGCCTCCTCGGACAGCCTGCCGCGCTCTGCCCGCCGCTGGCGGCGACCTTGTGCAGACTCCTCACCCTCTAGATAGCAGTTAGCGCTCCAGATGGCACAGGCAGCCTTTGACCCCCGAGCAGCCTAGACAGTAGTTTTAACTCTGACCTAACTCCCGCGATAGCCATAGATCTCGTACACAGCGTGCACAGAACCCACCTGGAGCACCAGGGCTCTCTTGAGAGGAAAGTAGTTTATATACCAGTTAAGATCGACTTTGTCTCAAACGTTGATGCAAAAAATTTTTCCAGCGAACTCCACATTGTCCGTTAGTGAATTCCTAGGACATCCTTCAGAGACGAGCCCCACCTTGTCCCATGGAGCAGAAGCCTGCCGGCCTGTTGCCCAGAACTGCGTCCCAGTCCTCGTGTCTCCCTGCTGCTGGTCAAGGTGGTCCGTGGACTCGGGGGTGGCCCTCGAGTACCTTCCTCTGAGGATTCGGAGGCAGCTGCAGGAGCAGCGTCCAGCGGCCAGGCCCAGCCCATTCTCAAGTGGGCACTGGCGGCCCTGAGGGACACCAGGACAACACCGCCGTCATTAAACACTGCTTCTCTGTCCTCCCTCGCAGATCTTTCTGATGTTTTGCCAAGCAGGAGTTTCCTGCTCTAGGTGGAGGGATGCTTTCCCTGTCTCCTCCCCTGTCTTCTTCCTCCCTGCAGGGCTTTGGTTCTGAACTCTGCAGGCGCAACGCCCCTGTGCTCTGCAGCAGCTCACTGTCCTCAGGGCCCAGGTGGTCCTCTGGGTCACTAGGAGGTGGTTCTGGAAGTGCACTCGTTCGCACTGTCTGGGAGCTGTCCACAGCTGTGTGGTCACAGCCAGCACGCCCTGGCATCCCCTGCAGGACAGCACGTGGCCCATAGGAGCCCTGCTCCCTTGTAGACGCTGTATTGACTGGGTGGGTGCGTGGGTGCCTGTGGCAGTGGGGTACTGCAAATAGAAACTTAGTCTGAGTAGCAAAGGATTCTTCATCGAAGCGAATCAGAATGTAAGATTACTTTACCTTTTCATTTTTTTCTCTTTTAATGAGAGGCAGAGGGAGAGGGGAGAGTGGTGTTCCTAATCCCCCTGCCCCAGCCTCCCTGCAGCCAGACTCTTGGTGTGTACCACCGTGTCCAGCCCATCAGGTGGGGCTGGGAACTGAACTCAGGCCTCCCCTGTGGCTCAGCTATCATAGATGCCCTCTTGCGTGCACACCTTCCTGGGTGTCCATTTTACCAAGCCTGCTCAATCTCAGGCTCTCAGATTTCCACCTTTCTATGAGAAAAGTAGGCTGTCGTGAATCTGCCCAGGAGTGTCACAGGGTCTGTGTTGGGATAGATGTGCCGTGTGCTCACGCACACGTGTGTGTGGCAGAGGCCGTGCTCTTAGGGATATGTGCCAAAAGCCATGCGGCTGTCGTCTGCACGGCAGACACCGCAGTTCCAGCTGCACTCTCCGAATCCCCGAAGGGCTGGTGACGCAGAGCTGTGTGGGGCTGCATCCGTGCCCCACAGGGCTGTGGTGGGAGCTCCAGGAGAAACCGGCCAGGTCAGCGCTGCGGCTTCCCGTGAGGCCGCTCCCGGCACTGACTGCCCGCCCTCTGGGCGGCCGTGCCTTCACTTGCACAGGACCCCGCGCGGCACTGTAGCCTTTTCCAGGCCGTGGTGGGGTCCCTTGGCGATCTGCTGCTTCCAGCTGGTGCTTCCTGTCTGCAGTTCCAAGGACCTGAACATGGTCCCTCTTTCTCTTTCTTCTCTCTTTCTCTGTGTCTCAGATGGCGATTTTGCTGACAGCTGCCACGAAAACGCTTCACTCAACAGGCCCCATGTGCCCAGAGATGTTTCTAGAACTATCTGATCGCAGCCATTCCCCCCACCCCCCAGGCTGAACAGCTGTTCTCTTTAAGTTGACTCAGACGTGGCTCCGGGTTATCCCCAGAGAGCCGGTGCGGCCCTGAGCCCAGCACAGGACTGCACACGCGCTCGCAGGGCTGCTCACGGGTCCTCGCCACCTCACTGTCCTTGCAGGAGCGCAGGCATCTGCGGCGACCAGGCCGTTGGCGTCCTGCCTCTCCACTTTCAGAACCGGCCCCTCTTTTTAAGATGCTGCTGTCGTCCCCCTTTTCAGTACTAATGATTCTGTGGGTTCCCCTCTATTACTAGTGTCTTAATTTACTCACCTTCCTCAACTCAGCATTCGCATATCAAATTCTGTAAATGTTTTGTAAACATATTACCTCACTCTTGGTAATACAATACTGATAGTCTTTAAAAGATTTTTTTATTGTTATCAATAATAAATGTGAACTGTTTAAAGAAAACGTTTCGCTTCTTTGTTCTTGTGAAGCGGCCATCTCTCTCGAATAGTCGGAAATTCTTAGGGGACATTAGAGAGCCGTTGGAGCCAGGTGACCAGTGTTTTGGAAGCTCAAGAAAATGCAGGGCTGGTCCCACAGCCTCGAGGTTCAGAGAGCCAGATCCCATAGTGCTAACTGGGGTTTGAGTCCTGGCCCTGCTGGCCTGAAAAACATGCCAGATGTGTGTGTGTGTGCACACGTGTCCCAAATCCCAGCAAGGCGGGACAGTGGTGGAGAAGGGATCGCAGTGAGAGCACACCCACTGGGGGACATTTTCTCCCTTGCCCTCTAGCTCTCTGTCTCTGACAAAAGCATGCACCTTCTGGCAATCAAAAACGAAGAAGGAAAAGGAAAAACAAATACTTAGCTTTGCAGGGCTGAATTTTTCAGGAGAGTGAAGACATGATATATTACTTCTTGAGCAGACATGGCTGTGTGACGTGACCCTAACTGGTGTCTCTTAGGTAGTAAAATGGACTGCTCTAATCGGGTGCCTCAGAAAGCAGAGTAGGCAGGCGTGGCTCTCCAGGAGCTGAGTTACCTCGTTGGCTCAATGCCAGCAGGTGGGTCTGTAGGGCAGCGCAGCCTGTGAGCAGGCAGGCCTCAGAGAAGCTCATGGCATGGTGGTTAAGGCCTTGGACTCCCACATGGCTGTCTGCAGTTCGAGCTCCAGACCCAGGGACTTGAAAATCACACCGGGCACATGTGCATGTGTGTCCAAAATCCTGAGAAGAGACTGGAGGAGGAGGAGGATCACGGCGTTGACCATCCCCCCTGGTGATTTCTTGTTTTCCTTTTCTGTTTCTAGTGAAGCACATGCCCTATGGCCAGAACAAAACAAAACAAAAAACTAAGACATGAGGACAATAATGGTGGAGAGACAGCAGTTCAGCAACTGGGGCCGGCAGATAGCATAGCAGTTACGTCACTGGACTCCCACATAGCTGACCGCAGTTCAAGTCTCAGACCTGGCGGCCTGAAACATGCTGGGTGCATGTGCACGTGTGCCCAAAGATCCCAGGAGGAGCAGGGATTATGTGTCCTCCCCGCCGTGGGGTGATTTCTCACTTCCCCTCTCAGTGTCTGTGCGACTGCACACACCCTAAGGCAAAATCTTCTTAAAAAAAAAAAGGAAAATTCAAACATGAGGTGGCAGAGCTCAAAATTTTAAGAAAAATTTTCAGAAATTGAGACCCCATTAGAAGAAACACAAAGTAAAAGAATTAACAATATACCAAGTGAGATTTTGCAAGTCTAAGAGAAGGTAGACTTCTAAGTCAGTGCTATTAACGAGAAGCCAAGAAGCTCAAGCATACGGATGGTATCGGGGTGGTGAGCACCTGAGAATGACTCGTACCAAGAAAATACGTATACTTTTTAGTAGGAGTGCTGGATTTGGAGGGAAGAAGGGAGGGAGGGAGAGAAAAGGAACGAAAGGAGATCCTTGTGACCTAGGAGAGAATTTCAGCTTTCTGAAGACTCGACTCCAGAAGAAGGTGGAATGACAGATTTTTCAGGGAAAAGTGAGCCGAAGATTCTAGATCCGGCACAGCTGACTTCCAGGAGGCGCGTGTTGGGCCTGTGCCATGAAGCAGGCGGACTTAGGTCCGGGCCAGGCTGCTCCGATAGAGGAGCGTGTGTGCAGAGATGCTGAGCATGGGCGTGTGGGATTTTCTCCCTTGCCCTCTAGCTCTCTGTCTCTGACAAAAGCATGCACCTTCTGGCAATCAAAAACGAAGAAGGAAAAGGAAAAACAAATACTTAGCTTTGCAGGGCTGAATTTTTCAGGAGAGTGAAGACATGATATATTACTTCTTGAGCAGACATGGCTGTGTGACGTGACCCTAACTGGTGTCTCTTAGGTAGTAAAATGGACTGCTCTAATCGGGTGCCTCAGAAAGCAGAGTAGGCAGGCGTGGCTCTCCAGGAGCTGAGTTACCTCGTTGGCTCAATGCCAGCAGGTGGGTCTGTAGGGCAGCGCAGCCTGTGAGCAGGCAGGCCTCAGAGAAGCTCATGGCATGGTGGTTAAGGCCTTGGACTCCCACATGGCTGTCTGCAGTTCGAGCTCCAGACCCAGGGACTTGAAAATCACACCGGGCACATGTGCATGTGTGTCCAAAATCCTGAGAAGAGACTGGAGGAGGAGGAGGATCACGGCGTTGACCATCCCCCCTGGTGATTTCTTGTTTTCCTTTTCTGTTTCTAGTGAAGCACATGCCCTATGGCCAGAACAAAACAAAACAAAAAACTAAGACATGAGGACAATAATGGTGGAGAGACAGCAGTTCAGCAACTGGGGCCGGCAGATAGCATAGCAGTTACGTCACTGGACTCCCACATAGCTGACCGCAGTTCAAGTCTCAGACCTGGCGGCCTGAAACATGCTGGGTGCATGTGCACGTGTGCCCAAAGATCCCAGGAGGAGCAGGGATTATGTGTCCTCCCCGCCGTGGGGTGATTTCTCACTTCCCCTCTCAGTGTCTGTGCGACTGCACACACCCTAAGGCAAAATCTTCTTAAAAAAAAAAAGGAAAATTCAAACATGAGGTGGCAGAGCTCAAAATTTTAAGAAAAATTTTCAGAAATTGAGACCCCATTAGAAGAAACACAAAGTAAAAGAATTAACAATATACCAAGTGAGATTTTGCAAGTCTAAGAGAAGGTAGACTTCTAAGTCAGTGCTATTAACGAGAAGCCAAGAAGCTCAAGCATACGGATGGTATCGGGGTGGTGAGCACCTGAGAATGACTCGTACCAAGAAAATACGTATACTTTTTAGTAGGAGTGCTGGATTTGGAGGGAAGAAGGGAGGGAGGGAGAGAAAAGGAACGAAAGGAGATCCTTGTGACCTAGGAGAGAATTTCAGCTTTCTGAAGACTCGACTCCAGAAGAAGGTGGAATGACAGATTTTTCAGGGAAAAGTGAGCCGAAGATTCTAGATCCGGCACAGCTGACTTCCAGGAGGCGCGTGTTGGGCCTGTGCCATGAAGCAGGCGGACTTAGGTCCGGGCCAGGCTGCTCCGATAGAGGAGCGTGTGTGCAGAGATGCTGAGCATGGGCGTGTGGGAGTGGGCACACGCCTGCACGCGGGCTTGGACGTGCAGCCCTGCTGGGAACCCCTCATTGCACTGCAGAAAGGGCCCATGAAAGGGGAGGATGGGCCCAACCCCAGAACACTCCTTTCCCTGAGGACCTTGCTCCTGGGTCCTGACTTTTGTCAGTTTACCTCATTCTTAGAATATTGTCCTGGACCAGCCCTGCCTCCAGCCTGGCCCCTGGGACCTCTGTCCAGACCAGAAGCTCCTTGAGGGCAAGGACTGTTGCTAATTTGTCTTTTTTTTTTTGGAGAGGTTTTTGCTATAGGGCACGTGCCCTCACCAGAAAGAAAGAGAGAAATCACCCCCCTCGGGGTGGGGGGATGGCCACACCGCAATCCCTTCTCCATTCTCTCAGGATCTTGGGCACGTGCACACACACACGCCCGGCATGAGTTTAAGCCACCGGGTCTGGAACTTGAGCTGTGTTCGACTACGTGGGAGTCCAGCGATGTAGCCATTACGCCACCGTGGTTCCGCTAATTTGTCTTTTTGTGGTGAAAGTTTTTCAAAATCAAAGTGGAGTCGTTGGTGTCTACCTGGACCAAACAGCTGAAGAGGCCATGGAAGAGGTGTTTCCTCACACTGGCACATCCAATAACGAGAACCATTATTCCAGAAACTGCCAGGACCACAGCCTTGCAGAGACCACCACAACCTGACCCAGAGGCTTCTGCAGAAAAATCTCCCCAGA